GCATAAAGACCGGGCAGGGGACGGGGCCGTGAGGTAAACGCAGCTCTCCGGCCCGCGCACGGCTCCGGCCGCATTCCGCCATCACCCGCAGGAGCGGAACCGGGCCCGCCGCCGCTGCCGTGGGCGCCGCCATCTTGCCGCCGCCCCACGTGACCCACGCTTCCGGCCGCCGCCGGAAGTGGTGGTAACCAGGGGCAACGCGGCCGCCATGTTGGGCCTGCGGGCTCCGCGCTGGGCCTGGGGGGGGGAAAAGAGGGGAGGGGGACACACACACAAACACCTTCCTCCGGCCCCCCGTGTCCCTCGGGAGAGCCCTTCCCCCGTGCCCCATGTTCCCCCGGGGAGAGCTCCCTCCTTTTCCCCCACCGTGAGCCCTGGGGGAGTCCCTTTCCTCACCCCTGGAGCCCTGGGGGGAGCCCCTTCCCTGGTCCCTGAGACCCCCCTCCCCCTGGTCCCTATGTCCCCCTCCTCCTCTGCCCCCTTCTCCTCGGGCAGAACTTCCCTCCCCTGGTTCCTAAACCCCCCAGGGGAAGCCCCTCTGTTCCCTCCTTGGGGGTAGACACCACCCCAAGTCCTGAACCCCCCAAGGGGAAGCCCCCTCTTCCACCCCCTGCCTCAGTTTCCCCCTCACACAACAACTCCCTCCGTCCCCTCGACATCCCTCACGTCGGCCTCATCGTTAGGACCCTAAAAGGTCCCGTTATCACCCCGTTTTCCCCCTGGGGGGTCGCCCTTCCTCGGGTAGACACCACCCCAAGTCCCGAACCCCCCAAGGGGAAGCCCCCTTTTCCACCCCCTGCCTCAGTTTCCCCTCACACAACAACTCCCTCCGTCCCCTCGACATCCCTCACGTCGGCCTCATCATCAGGACCCTGAAAGGTCCCGTTATCACCCCATTTTTCCCCACGGGGGTCACTCAGGCACCCCCCAGGGGGTCGGTGGGGAGCGGGAAGAGGAGCTCAGGGGGGGAGCTGGGGGAGATATTCTTTTTTTTTTTAATAGAAATTGCTATTTTGTCTTTTTTCCAGGCTGGGCCCTCATCGGCTCCTGGAGCGAGGGAGAAGGTGCCGGCTCCGGGCGAGGGAACCCGCCGCTGGGAAGGAGGTAACCTCCCCCCGGGAAGAGGAAAGAACGGAAAAATAAATTAAAAACTGAGCCAAAAAAGCCCAGCTTCGTCCCCTGTAGGGGGGGGGGAAGGCTCAGGCCGGGGCTGAGTGTGGAAAACAGCTCGTTAGAGCGTTAACGAGCCGGAGGGAGGAGGGGATGCTCAGGGAAGGGGAGGCACGTGGCAGCCTGGCTCCGACGGAGTGAAAATGGGGGATTTTCCACCCCCCCTGGGGCAGCCTGGGGGTTGATCCCCATATTCTCTGCTCCCCCTCCTGAAATCCAGGGGTTTCAGCTTAAAATTTGGCTGTTTCACAGCCAAAATTCCGAGCTCTGATTATGGAAATGCTGAGCGGTGACGGGGACACAAATCTTGTCCCCCTCCCGACCTGCTGCACTTGTGCCTGGGGAAGGGGAGGGTGTTTGTCCAGAATCCCCCCACACACCCCCAAGTTTTGGGGACGAAGCTGCTGCTTTTGGCACTTCTGGTGTAGAAATTGGGGGTGTCACGACTGGGCCAAAACTAGCCCAAAATGGGAGTGGGAGAAATTCCATCCCATCCCGTGGGGGACCCCAGGAGCGGGGTTGTGACATCAGGGACCGGTGCCGGGATGATCCCTGTTTTTTATTTTCCTCCTTCCCTTTCCCAGCTCCTGGAAGATGGATCCCGGCCGGAGCGAGCCCCCGGAGGAGCCAGGGAGCCGGCGGCCAGTGGAGAACGGGCTGAGCCCGGAGCTCCGGGTGGAGAAATACCCGGAGAAGGGGAAGCTGCTGGGGCCGGCGCTGAGCCGCATCCGGAGCGGTAGGAACACCAGGAAAGGGGGGGGATTTCCTCCAGGAAAAGGGGGGAGATTTCCCCAGGAAAAGGGGAAATTTCCTCCGGGAAAGGGGGAAATTTCCACCGGGAAAAGGGGGAAATTTCGCCAGGAAAG